GTCGGTTTAACCATTTTTGTTTGTATTTACTTTTCCGCTTGAACCATTTTGTTGGTACATTTCATCTGATGTAGCGTTTAAGTTGTACATTGTATTCAAGATCTTTTGAAAGAACAGACTAACAAGTGCAAAGATGCTGTATCAAGAAGAGGAAAATAATAAATTGAGTGAAACAATGAGAGAAAGAAAGAGGGGAGAAGATAACTAAAAAAATAGAAATAAGTAAAGAACTATACAAAGAGAGGTAGATAAATATATAGATAGAGAGAAAGAGATACAGCATCACGCATCACCCGAGTTTTTGACGAAAAGTATTGAACTTTGGACGAACATAAAAGAAAAATTTAAATATCAGCGGCTCTTTCCAAACTCGTGGATGGAATTCGATGAATTTCTTGTACCTGAGAACTGAGGGCAGGCCTTGTCCTTCAGAGATGCAAACAAGAGTCGGCAGTTCAGCTTCATAAGTAGAAATTATTAAAAGAACCAGAAATAGCGAACAACACATTTTTAAAGCGCTGGAAACGGTTTGGCTTTTTGGCTGTTTGTCGAATGTTAATGTTCACACCCAACGCGGCTCTTTCGAGACCCGAGATGGCATTGTAGCTTCATTTTGTGTAGACATGTATTGCAAACTCTGCCCCTTGTGAGCTGTTTCTTTTCTTAAAAGAGTTATATTTTGAGGGTTGTAAAAAGAATGTAGAACCACGTGAAACTGTTAAAGTTTATTCCAGTAATGTTTGTGATGGTAAATGTTCACATCTTGTATTTAGCTTAAACTGATATATTAACTGCGGCTTTAAGTTTTGGAAAATGTCGAATAATTAAAGTAAAATGTTATAATTCTGGTTGTCAGTACTTAATAAGTGGCTTACCAGTCTTCAAATTCATCTTAAATCTCAGCACTTCACACGTAGTCTTTATAAAATACGTTAGGGTGTCGAGAGGTTTTAAGGCTCAAGGACCTTAGTTGAAATTGAATACCTTTTGAAATGGACAGACCTTCCCATTAACCTGAGAACTTCTAGATGTACACTGGAGATGTGTAACGTTCTTGGACACGTTAGCGGGAAGGGAAAGACAATTCGCATTTGCTGCAAGTGTATTCGAGTCGGAAACACCTGTGGTATACTTTCCTTATACAGGTGCGTCGGCTGTGAGGTGTTGTGAAGTCGCAGGTGCCTGTGTGTGACACACTTTGTTAGGAAAGGGGAAGAGGGTCGAGGAATGGGTGGCGAAAGAGGAGGAAGGGCGGTGGAAGAGAAGGAAAAGGAGGAGCTGGGCGCGTGAGGGGTTAGAGAGGCGAGGAAGGGAGAGATTGAAGCTTGTGTCATGGGTATTTAGGTTAATGTACATTTTCCTTGTTGGTGCCAATGCACAACGCTGGGGATGGCGGCAAATGTGATTTTTTCGCGTAAGTTAGGATCCCCAGATGGACGGCCCAGCAAGTGCTCTGGGCTCTAACGTCTCCTTCCTCTGCAGTATTCTTTTTTTCTTCGGTCTCCCTCCGGGGCTGCGTTCGCCCTCGCCCGGGGGCGAAGACCAGCTGCAGTCAGCGGAGAAAAGGCTGAAGATGTGCTCGCCTCGCGCGGGCGATCGCAGATTCTATGATAGATTTGTGTAGCCTACCCGCCAGCGCTAAAAAAAAGGGGGAAAAAACTGGTCCGGCGAGGTTGTGAGCTGTCACGTGGCGGGCCGAGCACGTCTTAGGAAGGGGGAGCGGGCAGGGAGGAGGAGGAAGAGGTGAGAACGAAGGATGAGCGAGATGAGATGGCTTGGGCTGGAGGAGGGGGGGGGGAGTGCAGGCATGTGCATTTATTACGACCTCTGGTGCAGGGTTTGTACCACTACATACAACCCGGTTAGCGTGCCGAGGAAGCACCGCGGGGAGGGAGGGCGGCCATGCCGTTACGACCGCCGCCCACGACCAAGTTTGGTGTTGGCCTCAGCTGGCTCCAGCCGTAGGGTGGGCGGGGTGGGTCGTAGTAGTAGTGGGCTGATGGGCAGGCACTCACCTGTCCCTACTCCACCCTTTCTCTCTCCGCCGCCCCTGCCCCCTCTCTCTGTCCCTTAGCTGGCCTAAGGATCCCGTAGGACCTGGCACTCTGTAAGGGGTCCTACGCGGAAGTAGCGGCGCCTGGGCATCCGTGCACGTGGCGATGCCCAACGCGGCCCGGCGCTGTAGGCGCGTGAGCTGAATAAAGAACTCGGAATCGATTGGCAGCTCGGCGCTCGTGCGGGCGGCGGCGAAGCTCTCGCTCTTTCCATCCCTTCTCCTCGCGTCCTGGCGAGGTCTCCGTTCTCTGAATGTGCAGAAATAAGCAGGATTCTCCTTTTCGATGTGATTGTCTGCCGAATTTTACGCGAGTCTTCCCTGTAGACGATTTCATGGAGAGCTTTGCTCACGTCCCACCACTGGCATGAGTACAGAGAGAGGGGGGGGGGGGCGGCTCTGGCGTTGAGGAGATCGGGGGAAAGTTAATGTTTGGACTACCTTCCCTGTGCGATAACTTTAGGCCAGTCTGCATGGTTTATTTTGTATCGGTAGGGGAGAGGAGGGAGGAGAGGGGAGCGGGTGAGGGAGGACTGTGTGTTTTTATGGATCTGGGAGGGGAGGGGGAGGGGCAACTTGCAGGGACAGGGAGAATTATTAGAGACTTGATGAAAAAGCAACTGAACCTCTCGGCGGGTGTTGACCCTAAGGACCTTGAGGGGGGGAGAGGGGGGGGGGGGGGAGGAAGGAGAGAAGGGAGGAGGGAAGAGGCAAGGGGGAGGGAGGGAGGGGCGGGCGTGCATTCAAGGTTACAGTCTGACACAACCACAAGGAGACATGAGGGGCGGGGAGGTGACTTCTGTGTGTTTTGGGAAAAGAGGAAAATGGGGAATAGGAGAATGAATGAAATGAGTGACGAGGGAGGTAAAATGATAAGTTGGGAGAAAGGGAGGAAGGAGGGATGAATTGCACACGAGACGGGGGAGAGGGTAGGGGGAGGGGAAAGGGTAGACTGGAAATGAGCAGACGTATGGGGAGTGGGCGAAGGGCGCTGTGGAAGGAAGGAGGATGTGGAGCGAAGCAATTCCGAAGGGTTGGTAACTTGGCGCTGAAGGTCCTGCTCGAGCCGCCGTCTGTTGCCAGATCGGTGGAACTGGACTCGCCAGACGAGGAAATTACTCGCGAGATAAACTTAATGTGTGAGGTTAGTGTCCGGGGGAGGGGAGAGGAAGGAAGGGGGAAGGTCTCATTTCCCACCTCTTCGTTCGCCGACTTCTCCCCTCCGGCCCTTCCTCCTTCGCGGACTGGACTCGTGGCAGCATCCGTGTAGAGCAGGACAGACAAGCTAAATCACATGTTCAGAAACCGTCAATATATTCGTGAGTTGGCCTGTTAAAAGACCCGCGATTTTTTGTCGCACATCTTAAATCATTCAGACGAATCTTCTCGGTTCATGTACCTTCCTCAAGACTTATTAAAGGATGGGTCATTTTGCTGACAAAGGACTCAGGAGCGCGCCATGACAGAAAGTAACCAACGCCAGGATGCCGGGAAGCTGGGATCCTGAAGAGCAGGGAGGCTGAAGAGGGGGAGCGAAAGAGGTGACGTCACTCGGAGTGTGTGTGTGTGTGTTTATGTGAGAGAGTATGAGTGTATGTGTTACCCTCCCTAGCGCTGCAACAGGCAGAGGGCTGGCAGAGGGGAACGGAAGGGAGGAGTAAGGAGCTGGAGTGTTGGAGAGCGTGAGGTATGAAATAGGGTGTCGGAGACAGTGGGAGACAGGAAGGAAAAGTGTGTTTGCTGGAGAGAGTGTGGGAATGGGAAAGGGGGCAGAGGGGGCGGAGGATGTAGTTTGTTTGCCACGGATAAATGTCCAGAGAATTCATTGCTCGCACTGCCGCAAAATGTGCAAAGGTCCGGCTTTTCCCGTCTTTCTGGGGGGGGGGGGGGTGCGAAGGGATGAGAGAGCACAGGTTAAAGGGCCGAGTATTGTTAAGTGTTCGAAGCACTGGATATGTGAAGTGTACCGGCTACAGGCGCTCTTCTTGCGTTGATCAGCTGATCGAGACTGCAGCGGAGGGAGAGGGAAAGGAGGTTGTCGTCCCTCGCATAATCCGGTGCCGGGTGCTCGGCGGCGTCGGAGGCGCCTCGAACAGCGACGTGACGGTCCGGACCTGTCGGGTATTTTGTGACGTTGCGATAACACAGTTCAAGTAATAATAAGTTCGTTGAGATTTGGGCAGCGCGCCCGACGCTAATCACAGAGGACATTGGTATCGTCACGTCCCGCGAAGCTCCAGCTCTTCCCCTCGCCGCTCCCCTTGTTCCCCCATTCGCCGAGGAAGTCACGCAGCACCTCGCCTGCGCCCTTGCCACCGACGCCTGCGGTAGGCGCTGACGTGGCCGTTTAATTGCCCCGTTAAAAGGTGAACAGATTGGCCTTCGTGCGAGAGCCATCTGGCGAACGGGCGAGAGCAGGAGGCAGTTCCTTCCCTGCGCCCGCCGTCCACCCATTGCCAGTCGCAGCTTTTCCGCCGCTGCCGCCGCTCTCCTCCGTCTTCCAGTCCGGCCATGGTTATTCGTCTGCGAGACTATACATAATGTATTTATTTATTCATTTGTTTATTCACTTACTCCCCCGACATCCTGTGCCGACTACCTTATGACGTCACCGGAGATCGGTCCTTTATATCTGTGTTTGCGTTCTGGCGTTGCGTTAGGTGGTTTCCCACGCGCGGCGCTCGGATTTCCGTCGTTCGGGAAAATCCGACGCGTCGCCGTTCGCTGAAGCCGTGGGCGGGGGCGGGGCACTTTCGTAGGCAGAAGAGACTGACGAAGAGCGAGAGAGAGAGAAAGACGGGAGAGCGAGAGAAAAAGAGAGAGAGAAAGAGAGAGAGAGAGAAAGAGAGAGAGCGAGAGAGAAGAGAGAGAGCGAGAGAAAGAGAGAGACGAGAGAAAGAGAGAGCGAGAGAAAGAGAGAGAGCGAGAGAAAAAGAGAGAGCGAGAG